ATCTATCTATCTATCTATCTATCTATCTATCTATCTATCTATCTATCCATCCACCCACCCACCCACCCACCCATCTACAGTGCAAAATTCTTATAGGTCTTAAGCTGCTACAGAATGCTACAACAAAGATCAAAATAAAAATTTAAAAAATCTAACACCCCACAAACCACAACAGCACCATCCCTTTGGGTAAGTTTACAAAAGAAATGCCTGAAAGTTTTTGTCAATAGAAAGGGTCAATACCTTTTAGTTTATGATCCAAGTACTCCAGAATGACTCGAATGACCTGGACAATGGCAAGAATTAGGGATCCAAAGGCCAGTGAACCTGTGTGATACCTGCAGGGAGAAAACAGCAGCACAGAAATTGGACTAGTGAAGGCTGCAACACACCTGTGCACTTTTTCTTAAAGAAAAGATAACATATTTCTTCACTGGAGTCTCTTCTGGCTGTGGGAATTACTGTGCTTAAGAGCAGTACTTATCAGGTCCAGAAAAGATTTATTTGTAGGAAGCCTTTGTAGGAGAGTTCTTTTGCAGAAGCTTCTTCAAATTTTCAGAAGTTTTTGAAACTACCTGTGATCATGTTGAGTCTGCTCTCACAAAGAAAACTGCAGCACTTTTCATCCAAGGGAATCTAATTGGCCTGAATAAGCCTAATATCAATTTCAGTTGTAATACTAGCATCTCAGAAATCAGCCTCTTTTCTAAATCACAAAGCAAAGAACACCTTGCCACCTCATCTTATCCAAATTGCAAAGAATTTTATACTAAACTCAGACCAATCTTTTTAGTAAATTTAGTGGTCCCTAATAACAATTTCCTATTCCTCCAAAAGGTAAACATTGTTGATATCCAGACAAATGGATCTTTTTTTCCTCTGCACCCCAGTCCCTTTACCTGAGTGCTCGACCAAAGGAGGAGAAGAGGGGAAATGCTGGCATATCATCAGGTTTTTTAAAAGCCCAGTAGTATGATGCAAAGGCTCCAGCAAGTGTGACTTGGCCCAAGGCAATGACAAAGTTAGCCAGCCAAAAGAACATGAAAATATTGAAAATCTGAAAGACGATGAGATACTTGTGGTAGGCAGTCTCACCACCATAGAAGGCAAAGCGACAACGTGCTCCTGGGCATAGCTTGGTGACGTTGGAAGTACTGAAGGTCTAAAAGAAGGAAGAAAATTGTTATTTGTTAAAGTTCCATTAAAATGTCTTACTTGAAAATAATGTTGCTTTTCTATTTTTTTTCTCTAAGTATATATGCAGACTTCCAAAAATCTGGGCAGAACAGACATTTTGCCTTGTGAATTGTGAAATTTGGCTTTCTAGAATGTCCAGAATGCATCAATTATTAATACATTATATGAGAAATTATTCCTTTTCTTTTGCCTTTCAAAAAGTAATTTAAAATAATGAACAAGGGCATAGAGCTAATTCTCCTATAAATTCATGTTTATACTTGCTAAAGGAAAACAGTGCATACTTGCTTATCTTTCCCTAAGTTATCTTTCCCTAAGTACAAACATAGTCTTTGAACATCCCATTTTCTGGAATAGGAGGGAAATCTGCTTGACTCAGACTCTTCAAAGCAAGGTGTCAACTGGACTGGAAGGAGTGAGCCTCATCTGAGGCCCTTGCAAGAAGATCTGTCACACATTTAGCAGGAAGTGGACTGCTATATTCTTGTGGTTTCTAAACAGCTTGAATGAAAATATTTTCACTAGTTAATTATTTTAAGTTCCTTACCTCTGGTTTGCAAGTTGTTCCAGCATATTGGCATTCTGTATCATTAAACACCTTGTAGACAGCTTCATTAGAGGTAGACAAGAAACTAGAAGCAGTCAAGGAACTTTTCATTATAGTAATAAAAATGCCACTTTTGCTTGCCTGAGATGAACATCTGAGAAGTTGGTTATTTGTTGTTATTGCAACCTATCCTCTTCATATTATTTCTTTCCCCAGGAAAGAAAGAAAAATTGAGGAAGGATACACAGCAGTACTAGCCCAGTAAGCAATGCAGAGACACACCAGAAAGAAAGTACACAGAGGAAACAAAAGTGATGTCATGATGTGTCCGATAGCCCTGCAACAGGGATGGGAAATGGGGAGAAAGAAAAAGCACATGATTCCATTCTAGTGACTTAGTATAGCCAGCCACAATAAAGCCTTGTTTGTTCTTTGGCTACATTAGGACTTGGTTTTACTTATATTCATCTATAGTATAGTATATCCATAGTTAACCTATGGTATATCCAGGATAGTTAACAGTTTCTATTCAAGGAGTATATATTGTATCTGCATACTTTTAACTCTTCTGGAAGAAATGAATAAAAAGAATGTTTTATACAGTATTTGAGATAGACAATCAGTTTGTTCCTTTGCAAAAAGAGAGAATTATTCTCAATTTAGAGTTTTCTCTTTTGTTTGTTGATGCTGTACAGATCTACACGATTTTCCAATGGGAATAGAGTTAGACAAGAATAGCAAGCCAATTCTTGAGAACTATAAAACTGAGGGGATGGTTGTGGATGACATTTCCAAGAATAGAAGAGTCCAAGTTAGCCTCACCTGCTAGCTTCCTTGATCAGTGCAATGGCAATGAGGATTCTCTTGCGCAAGAAGATAAGCAGTAGGATGATGATAACTTCCATAATGCATAGGATGATCACTGGATCAAAAAAAAAAAGAGGGAATGACATGATTCCTGTCCTGTACAGCATTTACTGAGCAAGATAAAAACACAAACTAGAAAAATTCTTAGAACTATTCAGAATACACTTTTATCTGTCTGAAAGTTTGAAGAGATCTCCAATTTTTAAATAGCTTCTAGGACTGCTCAATAAAAAGGCCATGTCACTAAGTAGTATACTCGAAAAGGAACTCACTGAAAGCTAACCAAGTTTGTTTCAGATGGAGATAGACACGAAAATCTGTCTGGAATCCAAGTTCCATCAAGGAGACATCAGAACCAGTCTGTCCTTTCAGATGAGCATATTCCATATAACAATGAAATATCCCTGGAAGACAAAATCAGGAGTTGGAAAAGCCAGAGAAAAGGTTTTGCGAAAGGTTTAACATTCTCATTACTTTATACCTATAGTATTGCAGCCTAAATGTGGAGCGGTGATTAAAGATACAGAAAGCAAATTCACATAGACATAGTATATAAAGGCTTAGCAGAATTTTCCCCAATCTGACATTTTCAGATATGTTATGTTACAACTCTCAGAATTCTCCACCAGTACAACTGAAGACTTATCTGTAGAATCAGCCATGGGTACCTCATTAATGTATAGTCTTCTAGATACTGTTAACTCCAGCCTCCAGCAGCTCATCATGGTTAGCTCACAATTATGATGATTTGGAATATTTTAGAAGTCTATATTTGGAAGTCTACATACTATCCACCTCTAAACTAAATCTCCAGATTGAGAATGAGAATTTCTAGTAGACTTTTGCCATAACCCATCAGTCAAGACTTGATTTAACTCACCATATCCAAGCACCAGGATCACCAGTACAATCATCACCCAAATCATGATCCCTGCCAGGAATCGGAGCAGAACAATAAATACAAGGCTGACTACCATGGAAATCACGAGGCCTCTGCATATGGAAGACAAAAAGTCTTGAAATAGTTCTTGCATTGAAAACTAAATATCATATTTAAAAGAAGAAAAGGTACCCAAGAAATGTAAGCTCAGGGGAATATTATATTTTCATCATAGATTTTTAACATGAACTTCTTTGTTCCATGTTTCTTTGTCTTATATTTACATAAATATATATGGAATAATTATTAATTTCTTCTGTAACTTCTCATTTGCTACATTACCATGCAGATATTTACAATTATAACTGATATAATTAATTGATTCTATGAATCAATTAATAAAATAGCTACAGTCATTCCTAATGCTAAACCAGGATTTTTAAACGCATGATTTGTTGAATAAACTACAGTAGTTGAATAAACTACAGTAGTCTGATTTACACATCCCAAATAAATGAAATCCCAAATAAATTAAAACATTTGGTTGTGAAACAAGCCAATATGGATGGATATGGATAAACAATGTAAATTATGTAAAACAAATGAATGTTCATTGCAGAATGCTCCCCTAAATCGAGGGAATGAACAAATAGGCAGGCAAGGGAGCATTACTTCAGCTAGAGCAAAGACAGAGTGCCAAGACTGCTAGTATAATAAGTTAAATTTTTGGATACAGGCCAAAGAAACCCAAGCCCAAAATCTTGCTTGATAATTGGCTTACTGAGTGGCTTTGGGCCAGTTGTTATCTCAGGTCAATCCTCCCTTGTAAGGTTGATATGGATTAAATTAAGGAAGATCCTCATATAAACCACCTCAAGTTTATACATTTTCTAATTTCTCCAATGTTCTGTTTTTGGGATAGTTTGGCCCCAAATTCATTCTATAGATGACAGTAACTGGGCTATTCAGTCCTATGCTTACATTATTATCCAGTACCAGGAAACGGTGTAATCTTCAAAGATTTTCATAGCTACTTGTCTTGTCTCCAGAAGAACATTTGCCTTTCTGTAATTAAAAGCAGCATAAAGTGAAAATAACAGAAGGAAAGAATGTGCATTTTCTATAAATGTGTAAATCTATCTTTAGAATGTACGAAAGCGCCTATGAGCACCTATTTTTATATTGATAAAGCACACATTTTTACCCAAGGCTTGTGGGGCTTTGAAAGTTGCTCCCAACTGTCTCTGCATTCACAGAAAACAGAACTGCAATCAAGCCTTTACAAACAGGCATTAGGTTCATGCTCCTATATGCTCCGAAGTATCTTTTGGTGACCAAATGAAGAGCACTGATGATCCTTAGAAGCTATTGTGACATAGGCAAAGCTGTTACAGAACAAGTATCGGTTTAATATAGGCTGCTGAAAATGGAAGAAAGGATGTCCAATCTATACCAAGATATCCTCTTTCACCTGCTCTTACTGTATCTGTTTATCAACCACAGGTAAAGATAAAGGTTCCCCTCACACATACATTCTAGTTGTTTCTGGCTCTAGGGGGCGGTGCTCATCTCTGTTACAAAGCCAAAAAGCCATCGCTGTCCAAAGGTGTCTCCATGGTCATGTGGCTGGCATGACTAAACACCAAAAGTGCATGGAACGCTGTTACCTTCCCACCAAAGTGGTCCCTATTTTTCTACTTACATTTTAACATGCTTTCGAACTGTTAGGATGGCAGAAGCTGGGACAAGTAATGGGAACTCATTCCATTAGGCGGTGCTAGGGATTCGAACCGCCAAACTGCCAATCATTTTTTATCAACAAGCTCAGTGTCTTAGCTGCTGAGCCACCATGTCCCTCATGTTTATCAGCCATATTGAACTTAATTCTTACAAACAGAGAATAAGTAATAAAGGGTGTTGAAACCTCAGGAATCTTGGGTGAGAGTGACTATGTCATACTAGAATTCAACATAACGCAAACACAAGTAATAGAACACAATGACACCAGAGTCCTAGATTTTCAAGGAGCTGATTTAACAAACTCAGAGAGAACTTGGGAAATATTTCTTGGATGAAAATCCTTAAGGAGAAAAGAACTCAAGAAGCTTGGGAAATTCTGAAAAATATAAAAGCCCAGACCAGCACAATACTGGTGAAAAAGAAAAACAAGAAATCCAAGAAGAAACCAGAATGGCTGCACAAAAATCTCTCTGACAAATTGAAAGACAAAAAGGACAGGTACAAAATATGGAAAGAGGGACACACAAATAAGGCAGAATATCAGCAGATAGCCAGAATCTGCAAAGACGAAGTCAGGAAAGCAAAGGCTCAGAATGAACAAAGACTTGCAACAAAAGTCAAAAATAAAAGTTTCTTCCAGCATATAAATAACAAGAAAAAAATAAAGAAAATAGTCGGTTAATTAGAGAGAAGATGGCAAGCAAGTAACAGACAACAGAGAGAAAGCAGAGCTGCTTAACTCATTCTTTGTTTCAATCTTCATGCAAAAAGAAACAGTAGTCCAACCTACCAAAAACATAACTGTAAAAGACAGACTAAAAATAAAAGCTTATTTTTCTTAAAATAAGCCAAAAAAAGTTTCATCTTGAATACAAATCACTGGGACTTGATGGATTACATCCCAGAGTTCTAAACAGTGATGGGATTCAATTTTTTTTACTACTGATTCTGTGGGTGTGGCTTATTTGGTGGGTGTGGCTTGGTGGTCCTGTGATTGGGTGGGTGTTGGGGTGGGATTCTACCGGTTCGAACTGGTTCAATAGAACCGATTGTTATGATTCTGCGCAGTTCAGAGAACTGGTAAATTGTGCCCCTGGCTGGCACCGCCCCTTCCTGCCCACTCACTTGCCCCACTCAGGCATTCCTCATCTCACTTGCCATTGCTAACCTGCCTTCACCCGCCATTGCTGCCTGCTTTCCACCACGGCCCTGATCTCCCTGGGTGAGTGAGCCTACAAACAAGCCCCAGTCGAGTCGACTCCTGGGCCAGCCTAGGCTGCTGTGCTGTCCCTCCCCCCTGTCCCCAGGCTTGCCTGGTTTGCTTCGCCATGACCTAGCTAGCTGGCTGCACCCCCCCACTTCAAGGCCATGGCCACACTGCCCAGGAGAGAATGTTCCCTTTCTCCCCCCGGTGTTGCTGGATCCAGCTGGGGGAACGCTCTGGTGTGCTCTGCCGCCGCCGCCACCAAAGCTGCCCAAGGAAATTCCCCACCACCGGCACATTTCCAGGATGCACTGCCACCTCTCTCTCCCGCTCTCCCCCTCTTCCCCTCCTCTGTGTCTCCCTCAAAGCTGCGGCTGAGCCAAGCCAGTAAGCTCTCCTTGGCGCTCTTCGCTACTTCTTTCATTTCTTCGTTTTGGAATCCAGACTGGTTCACAACAATCGCCAGTCGCGGTGGAAGTGTCCCTTTGGGAGACCCTTCTCCTCCTCTTGTGACTGGCAGCTGTGATGGGATGGGGCCTGGGGGGTGCACACACACAGGGAGACGCTCCTCAAGTGAGTGCCAAAGCACAGAACACCCAGGTGCGGAGCAGGCAGCTGCTCGCTTGAGGACTGTCCCCACGTGTGTGCAACCCCCCTGCCCCACCACAGCCGTTGGTCACAAGAGGAGGAAGAGGAGGAGAAGGATCACTGTTCAGCCAGTCTAGATTCCAAAAAGAAGAAATGAAAAGAAGTAGCAAAGAACACCAAGGAGAGCTTGCTGGCTTCGTCCAGCCATGTCTTTGAGACACACATGCACACACAAACACACAGAGAGAGACACGGAGAGAGGGGAAGATAGGGAGAGAGACACAGAGAGAGACACACACAGAGAGATGGTGGGGGGAGAGAGCCATAGAGAGACACAGAGAGAGGAGGGAAGCAAGAGGGGGGAAGACCAAGAGAGAGAGAGAGAAGAAAGAAAAAAGAGAAAGGAAGCGAAAGGAAGAAAAGGGATGGACAAAGACAGGGAGAGATGGGACAAAGAAGGAAAGAGAGGGAGAGAGGGAGGAGAAAGTGAATGAGATATATGGATGGATCGATACATAGACGGAGGGAGGGAGGAAGAGAGAAAAAAGGAGAGGAAGGAAGGACACAAATCCTGGCTTCAGAAGACTCTGAAATAGCATAGCAATCTAGGGCTGGAAGGGATCTCGGAGGTCATCTTCTAGTCCAACCCCCTGCTCCAGCAGGAGATCCTTACAAAATCATAGAATAGCAGGGTTAGAAGGGTGTGTGTGTGTGTGTGTGTGTGTGAGAGAGAGAGAGAGAGAGAGAGAGAGAGAGAATAGCAAGAAAGAGGAAGGGAGAGAAAGAGAAAGAAAGAAAAAGAAATAGGAAGGAAGGAAGAAAGAAAGAAAAGAAATAGGAAGGGGGAAAGAGAGAAAACTCTGCTATTATTTTTAATTGTACCATTTTTTATCATATATTAATATTTTGCACTGTCCCTACACCTAGAGTGATTTTACTGCCTTTCTTTTACCCAGATATTTTTCAGAGTTTACATGTCTATAGTCCAGAGCATATATACATATGTGTTTAACAGAGTTGAAAGGGATATGGAGGTCTTCTAGTCCAACCCCCTGCTCACGCAGGAAAACTGAGGATGCCAAACTCTGAGTAGAGGTTTTGGAAAAGGTGTCAGAATAACAGAATAACACTTAGAAGGGACCCTGGGGGGGAACCCTATACCATTCAGAGAAATGGCTGTCCAGTCTTTTCATAAAACCTTCAATGTTGGAGCATCCAGAACTTCTGGTGGCAAGCAGTTCCACTGGTCAATTGTTCTCACTGTCAGGAAGTTTCTCCTTAGTCTTAGTTTGCTTCTCTCTTTGTTCATCCATTGCTTCTTGTTTGCCTTCTGGTGCTTTGGAAAACACATTGCCCCCCCTCTTTCTGGCAGCCCTTTAAAAGCCTGTTGCCTATCACACTCTTGAGCAAAGCATGTGAGCCATTTCCTCCTTTCAGTGGTCTATGAAAGTACATCTATAGTACGTAGATAATAAAGTCAAAAAATGGTGAACATTTTTACAGAACTATAAAGTTGAGGCTGGGTGTGACAAAGAATGGCTGGGGGGGAGGGGCGAGGCACCCCTTGATGTGAGAGACATTGAGTTGGTCACGCCCACACAGTCACATGACCACACCCAGCCAGTCATTTGACCACCAAGCCATGCCCAGCCAGTAAGCCACACCTATAAATTAAGCCATGCCCACAGAACCAGTTAAGAAATTTGAATCCCACCCCTGGTGGGTGTGGCTTGGTAGTCATGTAACTGGGTAGATGTGTCTTGGTCATGTGACTGTGTCGGCATGGCCAACTTGACGTCACTCATGTCAAGGGGTGCCTTGCCTGGCTTCAAAGAAATACAATTTCCCTCTCTATTTATTTACTATTACTGAACATCCAAAATACACTATGTAATCCTATGTACATATGCCATATGCGTACATACATATTACACAGTATAGTGTGTGTAAAGGCACACATAAAAATACATTATCTACTACATATACTGTATGTGCATGTACAGAGAGCGAGAGCGAGAGAGAGAGCGTTCTTCTAAAAACTATACACATTCAACCTCATTGTGTTTGGAAAAATACATAGTCCACTTTCTGCTACACATTTAACTATAACTTCTGTACATTAGAACATTACACACACCTTCAGATTTATTTCCCTAGTCTGCACTTGACCATTAGACCCAGGAGATATCATGGATTGAGTAAAATGTGGTGAAACTCACTTAACAATGCTCTTGCTTAGCAACCAAAATTTTGGGCTCAATTGTGGTTATAAGTGAAGAACTATCTCTGCCTTCCTCTGCATGGCAGCCTTGTCCTAGTAAACTCCTCTGCCAATTTTCCTCTCTGTTAGAGGCACCAAAATAATCCAGATTCCAGATGATATAAGGTCTCCTGCTGGAGCAGAGGGTTGGACTAGATGGCCTCCAAGGTTCTTTCTAACTGCTATTCTATGATTCTTTAAGGATCTCCTCCTGGAGCAGGGGGTTGGACTAGAACAGGGGTCTTCAAACTTGACAGCTTTAAGACTTGTGGA